CTCATTCATTATTTTGACGCCTCTTGTTCGCAGGATGCTGCTGCCTTATTAGAGCAGGATGTGAGCAAAGTGCAAAAATATTCAAGTGACCATAATCTAAACATTAATCCAGATAAGACTCAAATATTACTATTTTGTTCCGACGCAAGGAGAAGTGACGTGGAGAATACATTTAAGTTACAGTTAACCTTGATGGCTCGCTGCTGCAGATTGCTAATTCAGCTACAATTTTAGGTGTTGAAGTAGATAGCAAATTGAGATTTAGGGAGCATGTTATGTCCTTAGCTAAAAAAACGTATGGTCGAATGAGAGCGTTATATGCCAATCGCCACCTACTGAACTTTAAACTGAGAAAACAACTTTGTGAGTCTCTTGTGTTGCCAATTCTCAGTTATTGTGATATTTTATATTACCCATGTCTTGATGAACGGATGAAAAGCAGGCTTCAAATAATTCAAAACAATTGCATTCGCTTTATTCATTGATTGAGGAGATTTGACCATGTTAGTGACAAATACAGCCAAATGAAATGGCTAAGACTTGATAAACATGTGCTGTGCAAATACTTAGTGTTTTTGCACAAGTTGATAGCTGCGTCAAGACCTGCATACCTGAGAGAAAAGATCATATTTAATCGAGAAATTCATGACAGGATTACCAGGGACCGTATTATGGTCAGGATACCTCCACACTCTATGACACTCTTCAAGCGTTGTTTCTCGTATAATGCTGCCGTATTTTACAATGCTTTGCCCAGAAAGTACAGGGAAATGTCTTTTGCTAGTTTTCGAAGGCAAATCAAGCAATTTATACTCACTCTTCCCTGATATTTATATTATATTTTCTGAGCCGTTTAGGCATACGTGTACATAGTGTATATAGTTGTAGTGTACTTTAGTTTAGTGATTAGTTATTTAACCTTTCTGTATTCCTTAGTGTTTCTTATATATATATATATATGTATATATATTTTTTTTTCTCTTTTTTTGGAATTGCACACAATATCGTGCTTAAAGTACAGACAAAGGTAGTTAAGTGTAAGAGTAGCTCAAGCTAAACTTCGCTATCTTTGTCCCTCACATGTACAAAATATGAATAAAGGCGTTATTATTATTATTATTATTATTATATTTGTAAAAGTATCCGCATCCACCTATTATTCATCGTCTAGATATGTCAGAATCAGAAATACCTATTAATTTATGAAAATATATCTCCTAACATTGTTATATTTTCTCATTATTCCTATTATTATAATAACACGTCTGTTATATCAATTGGTTTTAAAGTAACCTGCAGTGTTGCCAATCCGAAAAAAAATGGAATCGCTAAATAGTCGTTGAGTTCGGTATATGGTAAATGCCGTCCCAAGATTAGTGGTAGGTCAAGGACCTTTGAGACATGTTATTGTATTGGACGCGCACACAGCATGTTTTTTGAGGGCATACTTCTATATTAAAACTTCTACAATGTGCATACTGATCGGTCTTTCAAAATACTTTGCAAACCAGTCTCCATTTTAGATTCTTGCTTATGGGATTGTGAATATTTTTATTTTACTCCTGAACTCACCTCTCATTTTAATGAAATATTCATTTCGGAAACAGACAGGTATGAACACCGTCATGGTCTGTTGTCAAATTGCAAATGAAGTATCTGAAAATTCTTACATACAGTGGAATTTCGTCATAGTTTACTATCCTGATTATGATCATTTGTAGCAGATGTGTTGTATCATCAAATTGATGAAAAAATATAAGAAAGCTCTTATATACCTACATACAGAGGATTTTTCATGTAAATTTACTAGGTATCATGATTATAAGCATCTTTGGTAGATTGTTCGATCCGGAATGGGAAAGATCTCCTATTTATGAAAATATTTTTGGTATCATCTAACCGTTGCAATCAGTGCACAAACACTGTGACATATGATTTATAGCATAACCCGCTGCCCTGTCAATACAAATTTAACATACAGGTCGCCTAGCCGTGGGGATGCAGTGGTCGGGATGAATATCACGGCAGCAAATGATGATCTGGGCATGTCTGGTAACAACGTATGAAGTGAAACTCGCTAACTTCACAAATTTGAAGATTTTGTACAATTTCTTTGAAAATGATGAAAGACATGTCCGATTTGGCATGGTAATGTCGCAGCCAAATGGCAGTCACTCTTTCTGACACAGTCCGGATCGAAAGATGACGATACTCGTGAAATGTATTGATACTTCTAAATATAGGATCGTATCGAACATCCCTAGGGTCAAGATATATAACCGAAGGTACCAACGGAGCTATTTTGCGGCGTCATGGAAATAATTTTAAATTTTCATTTGCATTTTTCAAGTGTTGTGCAATGATTTTGGGAAAATGTCACGAATAGTCTTATAAAGCATAGTAGACTATATTTCAACAGTTGGCGGAACTTACTCCACTGGGACCAGGAGGGTGAAACGGGATATTAATGCACAATCTGGCAGCCCTGTCGCACCCTCACAAAATGGCCGCTGAAAACCACACAAGTTACCGTGTTGTCATTGAATAGCATGGAATTAAACCTTCTTCAGAGTATATGTTTTGTGACTGGTACCAAGAGTTGACAGATCCCACACATGTGTCACTCCCTGAAATGCAATAATCAGCTGTATTCAAATAATGTCTAATATAAATATAACCTAGAATGTGTACTCGTGAAAAAAGAAAAATATGTCAGATTTGTAGTTTTTTTGCAGGTTTTAGGTTTGCTGGTAGCTTTAGGGCATATATTTGGGAATTTCTTAATCGCTGTGAGTATAGTGTGGATGTTTGTTCAGTTCCTGAACAACGATCTTTTGGTAGAGCCTGTCATCAAGTAGGTGCTTAATGGCTATCTACAAGAGGTTTACAGGATCGCATATCAATTGATGACAATAATATAAACATGAATAAAAAATCAACAATAGTAATTAAAGCATGAATTTTATTCAAAAATCCAACATTTCTTTAAATTTTGACTGAATTATATGTACTTAATTTCTTAATATTCAATAAGCTGGTGATGTTTCAATGACAAGCTGTCATCTCATACTTTGACAGTATTTTGTTTTCAACATTTCATAGCTATTGATTGCTAAAATTTGTTGATTGGAACTTAAAGCTCATTTGCTGTATCTGACGGTCTGTTACCCTATAGGAGGAGAATAACGGACTGTTGTTGGTGAAAGTGGCCCTAAGTATACCATCTGCTACAAACCCGTATTGATTTTGACTGGAATTTTGAATTTATTAAGGAACTTTATCATACTACTAGGGAGTTATTTCACCTTAGCCAAAGTCGATATGAGTGATATTGGTCGATAATTAGTAACGACCATATTATTGCCTGTATTATAGACAGGAATGACAACATTTGATTTAAAAGCTGCAGGAAATGTTCCAGATCGTAGGCATTCATTTATAACATAAGTGAATGGTTCTGATATTTGGTTGGCCATCATCTTGAGATCCTGAGCTTTTCTTATTTAAACGTATTGTAATGGCTTCTTATATTATTTGCTAATTTTTTTCGGACACTTGTAAATAAATTCATATATTGATCCCTTATTCGTCACTTCACCCTTTTCTTCTTTTAATTGAGTGATTTCATTTCCAGATCTTTGCTTTCCATTGAAAATATCATTAACAGTTGTCCATAGTATTTTTGAATCGTGTGAATTATCATTTAGTTTCTGAAAATCGTATCTTTGTTTTGTTTCTCTTACAAGTTCGATAAATTTATTTTTGTATTGATTATAATTTTATTCGTTTTCCTTCGTTGGTAATGATCTTTTTTAGTTTATAGTCTTATCTTTTTATTTGAAGATGTGTATAAATATAGACACAGCTGAAATTAACATGTTTGCTTTCCGCCTCTGTAACCACCACCAACCGCAGACAGCGCTGTTTCGTGCTCATTAGGATCTCATCAGTGCGGTATAACGTGGCATAAAAGGAAGGAAGATAGATATATTCCAACAAATTTTCACATAACAACCTGTTCCGAACCGTCAGATTCTTTTTATTACTATGCCTGTAGTCTGGGCTCTTCCGTAAAGCTCTGTTTTATATTGCTTTGAGCATACACACATATTACTACCGATAAACGCGTCGGTCAATTGGTTTCATCCCCTTGCTTACCGCCTAGTGATAAACTACAGCCGGGTGATTTTTCATTGGAAAATGACATGAGTTTTCCGTCCGTTTGGCGTGCATTGTTTCGGGGAACTGATTTATTGGATTTCACTTCATAAATCTGATACAATTGTATGTGCGCTCCTGCGAGCATCCAACGCAACCCGTCCGCGAATTGTTATTGCTATTGTTATGGTGCGACATCGTAATTTCTCCACTTGGAGGAAGCTGAGTGTCGTTCAGCAAATGGCAAATACTATTTCAACGTCATTTTTCTATTACAGAGGGCAGGACATAAGTTCATCGTATTTGAAAAATGTTCAGTTCAGAATATATTAGTCATTCAACAGAAATTTGCTTCTCAATGATCACATTTCCTTTCACTGTCGTTTCAGCATAGGGTAGGGTGCCCTAACTTTGCGCAGGAGGTAAGATTGCGCAGCTCCCATATTTCGAAAGCAAAATGACATTGTCGACTAACTTCTCTCGTGTTCTGGGCCGTTGCTGTGAGTGAGTGCGCTGTAGAAAAAACAAACCAAAAACCTATCAAAACCTAGTCGCAAGGTAAGTTTGAAGTTAAATATCGATTCTGATGTTATTGTTTCTCAATTTCAAACTGTAATTACATGGAAGATTTGACCAGTGTTTTCGTTTGCGTGATTTAACCTATACAGCCGGCGAGCGATATAATTTTTGATATTTGCAATAGATGGCGTTAGGAGTCACATAATTGTATATTGGGCTATTCCCTAAGACTGCGCAGAGTCACGGTCCGTAACACTACGCGCGCAGACTTACCCTACCATAACTTTTAATTTGATATAACAACCTTAAATATTCATTTTCAGAATGCCTAATCAAAGAAAAAGGTAGTCGGAACGTTCGCTGTGCCCTCAATATGTTTTAGAGGAAGCTAGAAGACGAATAGAAAATGGTGAAAGCAAAAGAAAAGTAGCATCGTCGTACGGGATGAAAGAAAGTACTTTGCGGTATCGCCTGAAGAGAAAAGAAGCTGCAACAAAGCTTGGTAGATATGATGCAACTCTTTCTCCCGAAATTGAACAGGAATTTTGTAATTATTTGGAAGATCTTGACAATATGTTTCAAGGGATGACTCCTAAGAATTTGAGGATTGCTGCTTACGAGTTTGTGGTGAAAAATAATATTCCTCATCGTTTCAATGCCGAAAAGAAAATGGCAGGCAAACACTGGCTTCGTGGATTTCTCAGTCGGCACCCTGATCTTTCACTAAGACGTCCAACTTCCACAAGTATTGCTAGGGCGATGGGATTTAATAAGCCACAATGTGAAAGGTTCTACAAAAATCTAGCAGAATTGATGGACAAGTATAAGTTTCCTCCAACTTCCATTTATAATATGGATGAAACTGGTCTGTCTACCGTACCCAACAATCCTCGAAGGGTCATATCAAAAAAAGGAAAGCGCGCTGTTAATAAGATTTCTAGCGCTGAAAGAGGAACGAACGTAACCGTAGTGAATGCTATGAGTGCATCTGGACACTTCATTCCTCCCGCTTTCATATTCGGTCGCAAAAGGATGAAAGCAGAATTGCTGGATGGCGCACCACCAGCGTCTATTGGAATGGTCTCAGACACAAGTTATATTAATAGTGAACTTTTTTTAAACTGGCTAGGTCACTTTAAAGATCACACAAGACCAACTAAAGAACACCCTATCCTTCTGGTTCTTGACAATCATGTGTCGCATTGTACAATAGGGGCTGTAGACTTTTATCGAGCGAATAACATAATAGCTCTAACCATACCTCCACACAGCAGCCACAAGATGCAACCACTAGACAAAGGTTTTCATAGTGCGTTGAAGACTTATTTTGCGAGCGAATGTGAAAAATGGATGAGAAACCACCCTGGCAGAGCTATAACTGCTTTTCAGATGACGTCTTTATTCACTCCAGCGTTTAATAAAGCAGCTACAGTTGTTTGTGCTGCTGAATGTTTCAAGGTGTCCGGAATCTACCCATACAATCCAGATATCTTCACAGATGCAGATTTTCTTCCTAGTGCTGTGACCGAAAGAGAAATGGATGATAACCAATGTTCAGAATCACAACAGGAGAATCCTCAAGAAGCAACACCCCATGAACAGAGAGAACCAGTTATGGATAATGAGCCTCGTGCTTCTGTTTTCAACAAGGAGCCAAAAAAACCATCAACTCCGAGGAACGCTTTTACAGCAATTGAGAATGTTTCTCTAGTAACAGAAGCTCCAGCCGAACCAGTTGTGAGTTCTGAGTCAGGGCAAAAGAAAAACTTCGACGGTCCTCCAGCTGAAAAAATGGTGGTATCTTCCAAGTTCCTGCACAGGTACCATCTTGCAGCAATGAATCGGCCGCAATCAAAGTGAAACTCCAAGATATTTGCCCTATACCAAAATCAGGTATAAGAAAGACCGCAATCAAGCGAAAGCATAAGAAATCTGAAATACTTAGTGGTTCTTCATATAAAGAACAGCTATTAGTAGAGAATCAGTTGAAGAAAACTCCTGAGAAAAAAATGAAAAAAGTTTGCAGAAAGCCTTCTAAATATCCTAAAAAAAAGAAATGGGCATGCGGTGGCTGCAATGAGGAGTATAAAGAGACGATTACAGAGGATTGGATCGGTTGTTCTGTTTGTTCTGAATGGTGGCATGAGAAATGTACGGCCTACGTAGGCATTGGACAGTTTAAGTACGATACTTTATTCTGTTTTAGTTCCTACTTTTAAGTTTTTGTTATCTATGCGCAATCTTAACGATCTGAATGCGCAATCTTAACGATCTGAATGCGCAATATCCAGGGACCCGTAGTGGTAAGACTGCGCATTTACATCTTTGTCTTTTTTTTAATTACTAACAAAATTGTTATCAGATGTTTGAATAAAACTTAAATTAACAAAGTACATTAATGTGAGCCTAAATAGAAATAAAGATTATTACAATAGGTTATTGATTCACGATTCTACGGCTTATCAAACCTTAAGTGCGCAGACTTGGGGCACCCTACCCTAAGCATTCCTCTAAGCGATCCACAACATTTCCGTCAAAAATGCTATAGGATAGCAGATGCCTATCAGACAAAGCTGTTTGAAATAACACACTACAGAGTTCAATTGATAGCAAATAACAGCTAACAGATAACAGATAAGAGATAGGGGATAACAGATTAACAGATAACAGATTAACAGATAACAGATTAACAGATAACAGATTAACAGATAACAGATAACAGATAACAGATAACAGATAACAGATAACAGATAACAGATAACAGATAACAGATAACAGATAACAGATTACAGATTACAGATTACAGATTACAGATAACAGATAACAGATAACCGTTAATATATAACAGATAACAGATAATGCATAACAGATAACAGATAACCGATGACAGATGACAGATGATAGGTGACAGATGACAGATGACAGATAAAAGATAGAGGATAAAGGATGAAAGGTCAAAGATAAAGGATAAACGATAGATGTAAGATCAAAGATGAAAAACGATAAAAAATTATTGAAGACAGGGATATAGTATATCGCTAGCATTGCATTAGCATACCAGCAACTGTGCTACGGGAGGTTTTAAATAAAGACATCAACGTACAATAGTTAGCATAGCGATAGTATGCTAGCAACTGCGCTAGTTAGCATACTAATGGTGATACAATTCAGAACAAAATCTAGTTAAGTTAAGCTTTGACTGAGAGATTCCTTTAACGACCTGCAATGTTTCGTTAGTTAAGTACATCCGACTTACAGGAATGGAAACGTTTCTTCTGCTACTTTCTCTGCTAGAGGTGAGGTGTGTATTCGTTTTCAGAAGGTGAAGATATTCGCTAATTGGTCATATTTTATCCGGATCATAGGTTTTGATGTCTGGATCGACTGAAAAATATGTTTTTGTAGCTAGAAGGATTTAATATGGGGAATGGAGGTATTTCTCCCACAAATCGTGTATTTTTTCGCTAGTTTGAGAGATAGTTTGGAAAAAAACGACTATATTCATCAGATCCATTACTAAAACGACTCCTCATTGGTCCATTTTGATCCCGATGAAGAATTTTGATCTCCTGTTAGTAAAATCGTCGGGCCTAAGTGCCCTGATAAGTTCAGCAAAATACAGTGGTTGTGGTACTAGAAGCTTCCAGAAAACTCTCACAAAATCAGATATAACAGTGATGGCACTGAGGCAAACATCAAAACAGTACCTGTCGCTGTAACTGTTGGAGTCACCAGGTTGTTTTAAAATTAAGGTCAACCTCATCTCTACCACATTTGTAGTAAACCTTTGAGTGAAGTGTGATGGTCAACAAACCCTTGAGTTTTAAGCAAACAATAACAGATATCATCACAAATTTTCAACATTGTAAGAAAATTCAAGAGTTTCAAAATAAAAAAAAAAATTGAAAGGGTTTTATAATTTTTCAGTTTTGAATATACAAGTTTTAAAATTTTTAAAATCACTCATGGCTCTGGTAAAATGAATGACCTTGATACTCTTTATCTGCAAATATTTTGGGTTAAAACTCTTCGTTACATTCGATCAACCACACAGGTAACAAGCTTTCATTTGTTCGTTCTGGCAACAACGCAAAAGGGCATTATGGACTGGTAAAAACAAAAATGTATGTTCGAATTAGGGAAGATGATTGGGGGCCGCCCACTTTTTCGATATTCTTCTTGGACCTCCTTTTTGGACCTTGGACACAAAACATCAAATCCAAAAACAATACGTAAGCACTACAAAATGAGAAATTAACATGAACTGCTAGGTTAAACTTGTAAATATCTTGACTTAAATTTGATCACATCCAAGATGATGCTAAATTTTATCACCTAGTTGAGGTGTCCTCAATTGCATACTCTACAGAAACGACAGCCATTCCAGAATACAGGTAGTGATAGTTTTAAATTACTTAGTACTCGTCTTTTGTAACAATAATTTGGTCCTTTGGGTGTATGTTACGTAAGCATACATTCCATATCATATAATTCCATCATAATTTTTTTATAAGTTGCTGCAGGGGAAAGGGCAAGAAAAGAAATGCTTGATAATACGAGAACTTCTCCCGTCGTTGTTGGTAGCAAGGACGTAGCGATAATGGGTCAGCGACAGATATGGTCGTATTTATTTTTCAAGGGGACATTCACTTGAAACTTTATTGAAGTCGGAGGGCTTTGACGTAGACACCAATTTCGGCATGTAGGTGTCGATGGCGAGTTCTGTTGCAAAATGTAACAATAAGTGAGGATTTTAGCATGAGACAGCGCGAAGCGCCGTCGATCGCACCAGAATCGAACCATTGTAAATCGCGTACCGCTGCTATTAGATGGAACCATCGCATCGTGCTTCCTAGCTATCGCACCTCCGGTATAGAGGATCAATGTGATGCTTTCGTTTGTTCATCCAGAGATAAAAGACCAAGCCTATACCATGCTGATGAGTATCTAAGAAACATAAAACAGCTGTCCGTGGTCGGCTGTCTCATTTATTTGGTCGGACAGACGAAGACATCTCATATTGTTTTGACCTGTAAGGGAGGATGTGTTGATTTTATCACCATCGAAAGAAATCAAAGATAATTCTAAAATAAATTAAAACACTATGTCGCAACAAAATTGAGTTAAATAGTTCTAATCAAAATGAAAACAAAATATTGAAGTAAATGTCAGAACAGACCTCCTTTTTGAGTTTAACAGTAACCTCAAGCCTGCGCAAACATGTTCTGGTGCAACATATCGGCAATGCTGCGGATTGCATGACCCTCTGCGTCACCGTTGCTAAGCAATGTGGTCGTGACCGTCGCTATTCAGCCGGCCTCTGTCTTCTTTCTAACATGTGTCAATACACAGTTCTCTCGTTTCTCCCTAGTACACAGTGAACTCAAGCCTTCAAACAAATTTGGTACGAATTTTAGCTCGACGCTACTCACCATGACGGAATGCTGTAAAGCGCTTCCCTGGCTGGATGCATGGCGAAAGATTAATGGAGTCTAAGGGCCGTATTGTCAACCGTTCCTAAAATGTATGGCCTCCTTGACTTTCATAGTTTTCTGCTGATCCGTTTCAGCGCTCTACTTTGAGGTTATGTTACAAATACCTATTTACATCAAACTGTTGATGCTTTCGATTTATGCCATCTGTTACATAGCTTGACATTTCCTACAATTCAAGAAGAAAACATAGCCTGACAATAAGAGAGCGCTGAAGCTGACAAGAAATAGTAGAAATCTAGAAATATCCCAGCCTGGAGAGAAGATCATGAAGATCAACGAGATCATAAAGGCGTCCTACAATTGTAGGAACGACTGACGTTGCGGCCCTTGGTGAGTATGCCATTTTTGGGGAATCTCACATTTTAAAGATGAAAACCTGACAGAAATAATCTATCAACGTTTTCCGCCTATACTATAACTATCTAAAACTGTAATGACTCATCGATGTTCACGTGAACATCACTTAACTACCAGTAGTCGGCTTTTCATAGGCGGGGTATGAATGTTTAACATGGGTGAACTAGATTTGTCACATGCTTAATAAAGAGTGGTTTGAAACATATTCTAAGTCAAAAATTTGGGAATTACCTTTATTCATCGTCACTTCCACTTATACCTGACAGTAATAAACTGTCGCTATCGCTTTCCTCGTTGAAATTGACTATAACTGGCTCTATGATGGTGTCGATGTGGTGGTCAAGCTGCCACATTTTTGTTTCTTCCTTTACAACACGACGGATAGCATTCTGCCAAGCTTCGGGCGTTACTAGATGTATGGAAGTCTCAAGTAAAACCTTAACGTCTGGTAATTTGAAGGTTGTGTTATGACGCGCAATATAACCCTTAACTTGAGCCCAGATGAGCTCTATTGGGTTCAGTTCACAGTGGTAGGGCGGTAACCGCAGCACAGTGACACCACATCTCATCAGTCACGTAACTAATGTTCGCAGGTTTGTGCTGTTTAATTTTTTCATACAATTCCGCTTTCACACATATATCGTCAAACGGGATTCCTTTTTCGCGCAACCATTGCTGCATGTCACTTTTTCGAGATCCCATAGTCGGTACACGTTCGGCTCGACGACTATGGTAGGAAGCATTATCCATGACGATCACAGAGTTGGGCTCAACTCGCTGAAGCACCCCTTGAAACCAGCTCTCGAAGCAGCTGGCATTCATTTCGTTATGGCAATCACCTCCTTTCTTAGAGACGAAAATTAAGTCACACTCTTCTAAAAAGCCACTATCGCTACCAATATGAGTTACGATCAATCTTTGACCTTTCCCTGACGGTCCACGAAGACCTGTTGACAAACCTTCAATGCTTGCTTGTCGGTTACTCACTACGTTTTTGTCTATCCAGGTTTTTTTAACTGTGTGACCTGCATTTACCCATGTCTCGTCCAAATAATAGATTTTTCTGCTTTGTCGCCTATATTCAATCATTTCGCGTAGGTATTTTCGACGCCAGGCGACTATTTCAGGTCTCTCTATCAATACTGACTTCCGATTACGCGTCTCGTAACGAAAATTAATTTCGTGCAGGGATTTCCTCATTACCTCGACGCTCATTTGGGGTATGATTTCATTTTCCTTGATCGCTGCATGTACAACCTTGAGGGTTGGTATCTCATTCCTAAAGAAGAATGAATGTACGGTTCGCCTTAACGCCATTTTGCTATCGTCATCCAATTTAACGGCCTTTCGTCCCTTCAAATTAAACTTTGGATCAGCAGTAGCTCCAGTTTTCCTCTTTTCATGCACCACCCTGCGAATGGTCCACTCTGGAACGCCTGTCATACTTTCACAACGCGCAAGTGCATCTCCCTGCGACATAGTTCTGTTCAGATAATTGAACACGTTGAGCACGATTTCTTTCGCGTCCCTCTTCAGTGCTTTACGAAGCCGTCTACTTGTTCCCTGGCTTTCAGTACTTCCACTCGTGCCATTTGTACTCTCCATGGTTAAGTATAACCAAAACAGTAACCACAGAAACCACAACAATAACAATCACACAACAATTCTTATAAAAACACAATATGCGATCGCTCAACGAAACACGTTCCAATGCGTTGCCGACGCCTATGAGTCTGCCGGTCGAGGCGCGTCTTTGATTTCATTGGTTCTACCAGCGGAGAACAATCAGCCATTATTTCCATCTCTGTCTGTGCTGTTGACCACCGCAAAGCCACAGAAACGACATATGTCGTACGCTATACGGCTGTACTGAAGGAAGCCGGGATCGAGCTCTGATCACGTGTTGATCATGCGTATGAGTCATTACAGTTTTAAATAGTTGTAGTATAGAAGGCAGTGTCACTCATGACATGTAACTCAACAGACAAAAAGTAGCCGTCTCGGATTAACGGGCATAATTAGCTAGAGATCATTTGATTCTGTTTTTAATAAAATACTGTTTCTCATATATTGCTAACACATTTTGTATATTATCGACCACTATCCAATATTCTTGCCACGTAATATCAATCGTAATTAAGGTTCTGCCGTATGCCTAATAAATACTCTATAGCTCTTAAAAGTCAAACGCAGGTGCAGCAGTCTCTTGTTTGTCTGTTGACATTCAAGAAATTTTTATTCTGGATCACTGATGTTATAGCCATCTGGAAGGTAGCGTCAACGAAACTCATCGATTTCGACGAATTTTCTACGAAACCGTTGGCACCAATGAACTGTGCCAGGTCCTCGCCCTCCTGTGTCGTTATATGGTTAGGATCATCGCGCTTAAGGTCCTTCTTTGTACCTGAAAAAATAAAACTAATACATATGAGGTTATCATAGCCCGTAGGTTTGAAACTCGTTGTCGCAGTGGCTTTTCATCTACCTTACTAAAATATGCAGTACTTTTCAAAATGAAAAATCCGTGCAGGAAGAAAGCTTAGCTTTAAACCAACACAAGACCACCGCCGCCTCTTTCACGCGAAAGCGGGTACTAGAAGGCCTGACGCCATTAACCTTGCATGGTGTAGAGATCCGTTATGCCAATGAGGCAAAATATCTTGGAGTCATTTTTGACCAAAGGTCAACGTGGAACTCTCTCATCAACAGAACAGCATCGATCGTACAAAAGCTAGCTGACTTGCGCGCCACAGGGGCCTTGCATACCGTACCAACTGCGGTGTTGGAGTCCTTCTCGACCCACCATCATTACACATATTTATTCAGGCTCACCGACTACTCTAAGGCCAATCACCGACCTGTCGGCAGTACGGAAAAGACCTATATTGGTAATGTCCCAGGACACAACTGTCCCAGTGTACAATTTCGATAAAAAATATCGAACAATTGTACCAGAAAAGAAGGCATGAGGGAATGGACCTCCTATACACGGAGCTGGAGCTGGGATTTATGGGGCAAGGCCAAAGAGTGTAGGTAATATTGCAAGAACACTTCAGGCTGAAGTAACGGCCATACAAGTCCACCCAAAATAGCTAATACTCGTAAGGAGTGGGATTGCAGATCAGTCGATCGCTATCTGCTCAGACAGTCAGATAGTATGAGGAGACCCCACTGCATGTATTGTGTCATTGTGAAGGCCTGAGTTTTAAATAGTAGGCACGACACGTCCAGCAGCTAGCCCTACATGCAAGGTTATATGTCAGGACTATGGAGTTTGATTAAAGAATCAAGGCTGGACACAATGCTTTATAAAGTATAATTATATGGGGGCCACAATAGATCCATTTGGGCCGCAGCGACGTTAAGGCTGATAAATCAACCCCTTTCTTCTGTAATCTGTCATCTGCATTGTATCTATATTGATACTGTGGTGTTCTCACTAACGATGAAAATACATAATCATATCGTAGTATCCTAAGAGCCTAAGGCCACATAAGCCCTCCAATTAACGTCAATTGGACCGTTTAGCGGACGAGCGGTGCTCCGCTTTTATGCTGAATAGCAGTAGCCGTGGAGTATACTTGACAGTGCGCAACATTAATAGGTACTTTCAAATCTGGCAGCTAAGAGAAAATTGCTGCCATGCTGACAAAGTAATCCCATGGCTACTAAGACTTAACATAAAAGCGCTACACCGCTGGACCGCTTCATGTTGGCTGATAATAACTAATGGCCTGCTAAAATGGAAGGTGAATGTGTACCTGCTAATATAATCTTTGCCTTTGGTGCGAATTTTCTTAGCTCTGGAATCCATTTTGAAGAAACATTTTCATATGACGTGCGCTCATCTACGGAGTATGTTAGTATAAAACAGTCAACCTGAAATAGTTATAGCCATTAGCTCAAAGTGTATATGTTTTCTCACAAGTAGTAGATTTCGTCTTTAACGTTAGGTACATTAAATATAAATTTCTGCTTTCAAAATCAGTTGCTGGTGCTGTTCAGTTTCTAAGGGCCTTGTCGTCAGTCGTTCCTACAATTGTCACAGTACTTTCTCTCCTTTAGAAATGGGTAATTCTAAACGTCTACTGTGCCATGTCAGCGTCAGCGCTCACCTATTACGAGGCTATGTTTCCTTTTTGAATTGTAGGACATTTCAGGGTGACACAACAGATAATATAAATCAAAAGCATAAATAATTAGATGCAAATCAATATTAAAAACATAACCTCAAATAGAGCGCTGACACGGAACATTAGAAAACTATGAAAATCAAGGAGGCCATAAACGTGTACTACAATTGTAGGAATGACTGACAATACGGCCCTAAAAGGTGTTAATCGCTTTTCTGATTACTACTTACATCTTTATATGCAAATCTCCTCAGCTTATCAAACTCCTCTTGACCAGCAGTATCAGACAATACGACAGTATACTCCAGACCATTGATTGGAATAGTCATAGAATATACATCGAAACTGAAATAATTCCAACTGTTAAAAAATATAATATATGTACCAAAAACATGTTGGAGGAATGTCATTCTCTGTGAAGATTCACTTTTATACTCCTAGTATCAGGTATTCGTGATATAAATAAATAAATAAATAAAAACGCCTTTATTTTAAACTCGGCGAAGGCCAGCTATGCCTGTAACTTAACCGAGCATGTAAAAAGTAAGTAACAACAAGCCAAAAAGGAAAGTAATATGACAAGAAACAAGTTTTACATTACATTAATTTTAGAATATTACATAACAACAATGAGCAATAATAACAACAGATGTACGTATACAAAGAAAATAAGCAATAATAAACAACTTATACTTCACAGAAGCAGTTGTTTCAGTTTTCGTTTGAACATATTAGGAGACATATCTTCAAATTGACCTATATTGTATTGGTTTAGAAGTTTTACTGATGTACAGGAAAATGAGTTTTGAGTCATGGTTTTAGTTATTTTAGGTATTTCATAAAGTACATTAAAGCGTGTTGCACGAGAGTGAATCAGATTTCTACGAGTTAATTTTTCAAACAGATATGGAGGGCTTTTAGTTTTAATCAATTTATGAAGAAAGCAAGCAAAATGCAGCTTTTCTCGATTGGAAACATTCAACCATTTCAGTTCGGAAAGTTTATGACTCACATGATCGTGACGTCTAAGGTGGTAAATAAGTCGTATGCAAGAATTCTGCACTTTTTGGAGTTTATCTTTAGTAAATACATCTAAGCAAGGACCATACACAAAGTTGCAATAGTTAAGGTGACACAAGACCAGTGCTTCGCAGAGAACCTTTTTTAACTTAAAACTAAGAATATCTTTACTTTTGTAAATATTGCGAAGGTTAAAATAGGCTTTTTGTAGAAGCCTAGACACATGACTTCGGAATCTAAGCTTGTTATCAAAGATAACGCCCAAATTTTTATATTCCTCAACAATCGGTATTGCCACACCATCCATTGCTATCACCAAGTTTACAGACGCCCAATCTTTAGCTGGCCCAAAGTAGATTATGGCTGATTTATTAGGATTCAATTTCAAGCCATGATTAAAAGGGTATTTAAAAACTGAATCCAAACACTCGTTTAGCCTCCTAGCCGCTTCAGTTGCGTCCGACTTAACAAAAGAAAGCTGAATCTGTGTATCGTCAGCGTATCTATGATTGTTTATGTCACCAAAGCACTTCGACATATCAGCAGTAAAAATGATAAAAAATAAAGGACCCAAAAGTGATCCCTGAGGAACTCCTCTATCCACGTTCAAGGATTTTGATTTAAGCCCATCAATTGAGACCGACTGCGATCTGTCATCCAAATAACTACGAATAAGTTGAATAGTCTTAAGTTTAAATCCATAGTACAAAAGTTTTGCACACAGCAATGGATGGTTCAGGGTATCGAAGGCCTTGCTAAAGTCTAACAACACCATTGCCGAAGTTTCACCCCTGCCCGCAGCCAAAAGAATGTCATCTAGAACCTTCAACAGAGCCGTGGTAGTACCAAACCCTTTACGGAATCCAGACTGCCACTTGGGTAATAAATTATTATCTGTGAAATAAGTAATGATTTGCCTATAAATAAGCTTTTCAAATACTTTAGACAGCACTGGTAGTATACTAATTGGTCGCAAATCAGAGACATCCTTAGGACTGCTAATTTTAGGCAGCGGCTGGACCACAGCCGTTCTCCATTGGGCAGGAAAGATGCCCTTTTGTATGCAGGAATTAAATAGGTTAACCAGCACGGGTAAGATCGTTGGACAACACAACCTCACCATGTCAAGGCTAATTCCGTCTGCACCAGAGGCGTTTGACCCAATCTCCGATATTGCCCAGAAAACGTCATCTTCACTACGAGTTTTAATTCAAATTCTGCGGTTGTACATTTGGAATTAAGATATTTAGAAATAGTATTCGTATCGACAGTACTAGGTATTTGTCGCACCGAGTCGATAAAATATTGATTAATTAAATTTGGGTTTTTAAGATGGTTAGGAATTTCTATATTTTTTTTAGATCTGTTATAGATATTAAGTTGGTCTAGTGTCTTCCACATGTCTTTGGATTTTTTAGTACGACTGACAAAATCAAGATAAGCTCTCTTTTCTTGTCGAACAGCTGACGTAAAAAAATTCCTCATTTCTTTGTAAGATGCCCAATCCCGTAAATTTTTAGTACGCTTATATTTAGAGAAAAGATAGTTACGGTGATTCTTCATCGCACGCAACGCATCAGTAAACCACGGGGAAGGTGGCCTGGTAACTTTTTTCTCACATATTGGCGCATGAGAATCAAAAAGAGTCAATATCTCATTGACGTTCCGGACATGACTTTTCTGAGATATTATACGTTTAGTAATTAAAACTGAAATCCTTATAACATTGTGTCCTATATCTTGACACCATTCTCCAATTCAACTGAAGAAAGATTGCACGCTTGATTGTCAAATACCATTTATCTTAATGAAATTCAAACTCACGGTAAGAGGCTGGCATGAACGTAAGCTTGCACGTGTATTATCGATAACGTCTGTATAGTTCTTTTCGTGTTTGGTGGTTACGTCGTCAATAACATGCAGCTCTTGCAGACATGCACTTGTTAATAAAGGGCTGCTATACAGGGTGTCCCGAAAAAAGTGTGCAATATTCTACCAGCGGTTTCTAGAGCTTAACATAGGAAGAAAAGTTTATATAAACATAGGTCGACAAACGTCCCCTAAGGGCGCTACGGTCTTTTAAAGAGGCTCTCCTGAAGATGGTTTTTCCTTAATATTTCCGAGTCGTGTTGAGATAAAGACATAAAATTTGGTATTCTAGCCTGGGTTTTCATGCTGCATTTAAAAATATTAACAATTTTAGACAGTTTTGTTTGGAGCCGTATGTAGCATGGACGGACTCAGGTTATATTAGCCCCCAAATTAGGTACTCTTATTGAATATCGATAGATTGTGCCATTTTTGAATGAAATCAATCTAAAGAATTTGTCACATGATAGGAAATGTACTGCGAATTTAAATGAATTGTTGATTATACATAGTTAGCCATGACTGCAAACAAAAGTTGTTTTGATTTGATATGACTTATTTTGACGTTAAGCTGACATTGTTAGTAGTGTAAAATTACTAGATTAAAATCAAAATTTTTATTAAATCGATTTAAAATGCCAAGATTTATAGACAGAGAACTGACTGGCTTGCATCTTGTGTACGGGTTTTGCAATGGCAGTTCATTGGCAGCCGTAAGAGAATATCAAAGAAGATTTCCCAATCGCATAGTACCTGGACGTCGAATGTTTACTGATATTCACCGGAATTTGTCAAACCATGGAAGTCTTCAGCGCATGCAGCGCTCATGAAGGTCACTGGGAATCATCGTATGGATATTGCTTTAAATATGTTTGAAAATAATCCGCAAATAAACATACGAAATGTTTCAGAAAATAAGGATATACCTCGATCAATAGTAAGAAATATTTATGAATACCTATTTGATAGTTATCCTTAAAATAATAATTTTAGATAGGAAGAATGACAAGAATTTACATCCTTATCATTTTAAACGGGTGCAGCACTTAACGGAGGCAGATTTTTTACCACGAATCAAGTTTTGCCGGTGGATATTAGCAAATGAAAACACTATTCCTAGAATATTATGGTCGGATGAGTCAATATTTACTAGGAATAGTGCTTTTAATTTCCATAACATGCATCACTGATCAGATGAAAATCCAAAAGTTGTTCCAACATAGATTTTCATTGAACTTATGGGCAGGAGTAATTGGGGATCAATTAATTGTACTTATTGTACTTCCCAATCGTCTTAATTCAGAGGTGTATCTGAACTTTCTTCAGAATGAGCTCATGGATATGATACCATTGGATGTGCGCCAGCAGTTTCAAGAAAATATGTTTTTTCAACATGATGGCGCCCCTGCACATTTTGGACGCAATGTTCGAAATTGGTTGAACGTCAGTTTTCCAGACAGGCGGTTAGGCCGAGGAGGTCCTATAGCGTGGCCGCCACGTTCACCTGACCTAAATCCATTAGATTTCTATTTTTGGGGGTCATTAAAAGACCTAGTTTACTGGACTGAAGTAAATACTCAAGAAGATTTACTTCAAAGAATCCATCAGGCTGCAAATGAAATAAGAAGAAAAAGGTTTTCCACTTTTCGGGCAACGCAATCATTAGTTCGTCGAGAGAGACTCTGTATCCGACAAAATGGGAATTTATTTGAACACTTATTGTAAAGCTAGTTTTAAGTATATCCAGCTGTATGTCCTCTTTTCTAAACAAATTTCAATTTCTTTCGTAGAAAAAATTTATTTATTTTGTTTTTGCCTAAATGTTAGCTATGTTGCAATAGAAATATGTATTTACGTAATATTTACCAATTATTAAATTAGTTTTTTCGTTGCCATGTTGCCATGGCTAATTATTTAACATTTCATTTAAATTCGCAGTACATTTCCTATCATGTGACAAATTTTTTAGTTTATTTTTATTCATAAATGGCAAAATTTATCGATATCAATAAGTGTACCTTTTTTATGTAGAAAACTCTACATTTTCAAATTCTAAAATTGAATTTCAAAAATAGAATCACACAGAAATTTTGGGGCTAAAATAACCTGAGTCCGTCCCTGTTGTATGCAACGCTTCCAAACAAATCTGTCTAAAATTGTTAATATTTTTGAATCCAGTATAAAAAAAGGCTAGAATACCAAATTTTATGTCTTTATCTCAACACGTTTCGGAAATATTAAGGAAAAACCATCTTCAGGGGAGCCCCTTAGGGGACGTTTGTCGACCTATGTTTATATAAACTTTTCTTCCTATTTTAAGCTCTAGAAACCGCTGATAGAATATTGCACACTTTTTTGTATTGTACTCCAATAATTTTGGTAAAGGCTACCGCTATCGTAATCTAATTATGTGTTCGGGTACTGCTATGCTTTATGTCACGACTGTGACATGGGGA